ACAGTCAAGTTGAACCAAGGCCCATCTGAAATGGAATCCCGGACAATACAAGTCCATCGAACCCTTTATTTAACCTTAATTTGCCTGAAAAGTGGATGTCAGTTGTTATACTGATAATTAAGGTTCGTATTAAACATCATTTTGAAGTTGTAATTAAACCCACTTGTTCTGTTCACATCAAGCATTCTCGTCCAAATTTCTGTTTTGCCTTTTATGCGAAAAGACAAAAATGTGACTTAAAACATTCTTCCCCTGTACTCTTCACTTGATAAGTAACAAACAGCACAGGTGAGAAATGGATTAAAAAAAACACTCTGGGCGATGTTTTCCCCCACTACAGTTATCTTTATAGAGTCTGAGAGTATAAATGTCTGACGGGGGGGGGGGGGGGGGGTTGGATGGGCGAATGGTTAGCATGTGCGCGTTGTATCATAAGGTCTGTCATTGAGTCAGTTGGTGTGATTTCGATTCCCGGGTCGTATGTGACAAGGAGTAGGGTCGCCTGTCCAACCTTGTGTGTTTTTAGTGGGTCCTCTGGTTTCCTCCCTCTGCTAAAGCGAATTATTGAAATAAAATTAAACCATATGTTAGTCTCGAAATGACCTAGTTTATGTCGAGTGGACATTAAAGTTAAACTCCACCTCTCTCTCTCTCTCTCTCTCTATAAATGTCTGAGAATTTTTTTTTTATTTTATTATTGCACTTTTTGCGATATTTTAATCTCTGAATGAATTGTTGGGTTATTAAAGTCGCTCTTAAATCAAACATATCGACCTCTTAGCGAGAAGACCAATAAATTACCTAATAATACTGTCTACAAACTATTTCTATCATTCAACTGGTATCATTAGTAATCACGCTATTGTTTGATAGATTTATTTTATACACTTTCGTACTCCCATGCTTGAATCCTGATCTGTATCGCAGCAGTTAAAGATGAACAGGTTTTTAAAATGTTAAAAGTAGACATTTACAAATATCAGACCTTTCATAGCACAGCTTGACGGAGACAGAGTATGATAAAGTAATCATTCCGTTTCACATGTATTTAGTCTGCCCTGCATTACAATGAGAGAGAGAGAGAGAGAGAGAGAGAGAGAGAGAGAGAGAGAGAGAGAAGAGAGAGAGAGGGAGGGTTTAACTCCACTTGACACAAACTAGGTCATTTCAGGACTAACATGGCTCAATTTTAATTTATTGTGCGTCTTTAGCAGTCAGAGAAAACCTACAGGTTAGACAGGCGACCCTACTCCTTGTCACGTACAAGTGGGGAATGAAACCACGCCACTTGACTCAATGATACCACTTGACTCAATGACGCCACTTGACTCAACAACGGACTGTATGATGCCATGTGCACATGTTAAACACCCGCCCATATTATAATGTTGAAACATATTAGGCTGAAAATAACCTAGTGTGTCCAGACATTCAGAATATACTCAGACACAACATTTCATATGACTAGGTTTGTAAATCTGGGAGTATAAACTAAATGAAATGAACTGAAATGAAATGGGGGTTTAAAATCCTACTGTTCTGCTCCGACTGGGCTAATGTAGACGGGGCATATGCCATACAGTGTGCTATAAGGGACATTTTGCCCAGATAGCTGTGCTACAGCCTACTCTTATATCAAATTCCAACTGTCAAGGGATCTTTTACATCCATGACAATGTATACACAGGACCGCTTTTTTGTCCCATCCAAATGACTAGACAGCTGTCCTTAAACAGGCCCTCCTTGCTGCACCACCGACAAATCCTGATGAACACCGAAAGTGAACCGGCGACCTTCAGACTAGCGGGCCAGTATCATAATCACGTATTCAACGTCACTCCTACAAATGAAAGAAGTAGAAACCGGGTCCTCCAGTTTCCTCCCACTGCTAAAGACGCTTACGCGCAAACAAATTATTGAATTATAATTGAACCATATGTTAGACCCAAAATGACCTAGTTTGTGTGGAATGGACATTAAACCCCCTCTCTCTCTCTCTCTCTCTCTCTCTCTCTCTCTCTCTCATTTTTGCACAAATTACAGGATAATCCTAAGCCTCTGCTACCTTCATTATACCTCCTTGTGAAAAATATTTTATTTACAGATATGAGAACTGCATGTAGCACAGCATGTTCGAGACAGAAAACGATAAGACACTTGTTTAATTTCCTAATGTATAACTTATGTCTTGTTGAGAGAGTTAAAAATGAAATCTATTTGACAATATAAGGTCTGCTTGTCTTTCATGCCAACACTAGCTGTGCCTCGTCTCCTTTCCATACAATGCTGCATAACTATCAAGCAACATAGAAGTGTATATGAAATGAAATGAATTGGGCCATGTTTTTCGAAATCTTAACTACAGATAAAATCCAAATTTTAGTAGATATTTCAATTTTGATTGGTTAAGCACTAAAATCAATCTAATATTATCCAATCAAATTACTAAAATTTGGATTTTATCTTTGTTAAAATTTTGTGAAACAGGCCCCAGAATGTTCTACTGTTCTGTTCTGACTTGGCTAATGAAGATGGGCATATGTCATAAAGTGGAGTGGTTTCGATTCCCCAGTGTCAAGTGGACATTAAACCCCATCCCTCTCTCTCTTTAGCCTCTATCTAGTTGGTCGGTGTCAATGTATGTTACACATCCTATGTGTGTGGTCAGAATGTTGACATATTGGAATTCCAGTACTGTCAAGGTTTTATTAAATTACACAACAATGTGTACATAGGACCCGATTTTTTTTTTTCATCCCATCCAAATGAAGGAGCCGCGGTGGCTAGTTTAAGACGCTGGCTCGCTAGCCTGGAGGTCGGGTGTTCGATCCCTGCATTGGCCGAGAAAGTTCATCCAGATTTTCCGACGTGGTTTCGACTTGTCAGTGGTGCAGAACGGAGGGCCTGACAAGGACAGCTGTCTAGTCCTTCGGATGAGACGAAAAACCGAGGTCCCGTGTATATATAGGAATGCACGCAAAAGATCCCCTGGCAGTAGGCCGTAACGCCGCTGCCCGTCTTCATTAGCCCAGCATAGGAGCAGAACAGTAGGACGTTAAACCCCATTTCATTTCATTTCATTTCATTCCCATCCAAATGACTATGCATTGTCCCTAGCCAGTGTATACATTGGCGTGCACATAAAAGATTCCTAGATGTTGGAATTTGATATGACAGTAGGCCGTAGCGCTCCATTATATTTCATTTCTAGGACACCATTTCCATTTATTTTGGAAGTTCCCAGAGTAACTAGTTTATATGAAGTTCCCAGAGTAACTAGTTTATATGACTTTGTGTTTGTCTTGTATTAATATTACGATGCACACACCGCCAGAAGTAATGTAGGATTATAACAGAAGATATCTACCACAGAATACTACGAAATTAAATGTCAGGAAACATGTTTTGGGGGCCTAAAAAAAGTGTTGATGTAGGATTTCATTCCTAATATAGAAGCAAGAGATGAAACCTGTCAATGTTCAGAATTTCTCCCCATTGACAACAACAATGTTTTGTGGAGTGAAAATAAAATATGCCAAGGACCAGTTCCACTAGTGCCAGGAGAAATTTCTGTGAAACTGTCCATGACTTATTTTCTCCAAATGTCAACAGTGTTTCTTCTTTGATTGGCATTTAGTAATTGAACATATTAACACAAGGTACAAATTTTATAGATACACAATTACTGAGTTTAACAGTGTTATCTTCTGGCCATTGTAGGAAAAATTGGATTTTGGGGAGGATTGGAAAAAAAGTAATCAGATTGTATGTACAGAAGTAACTTTATTACTTTGCGAAGTGAGTAACCCAACATTTGCAGCCACACTGACAAAATTCTCCAATATAAGTTACATACAATAGAGTTAAATGGGCCTCTTTTTATTTTGTGAGAGAGAACACATCTTCCATAATTATTATTAGACTTTTGGGGATTGGACTATCCCCATCCCTATGCAGGAACGAGAGATAAAACTGTTGCTGAGACTGATATCTTAATAACAAAAGTTTAATATTATGTGAAATAGAAAGGGTGTTAACGTCCTACTTTTCTGCACCAACTGGGCTAATAAAGACGGGTATATGTCTTGCAGTGAGTGAAATCTTGCCTGGACAGTGGCACTCTGGCCTGGGCCCTTATTCACGAAAACTTAAACTAAGTTACAACCGAAATTTTAAGAAATACTGCAACTTCATTGGATATATGCAAATTGATTTTACTGACTGGTCAGCTAATCGAATTGCAGTATTTCTTAAAATTTCGATTGTATCTTAGTTTAAGTTTTCGTGAATAAGGGCCCAGCTCTTATTTCAAATTCCAACTATCATTTCTTGTCCAATCCGAAGGACTAGATGCTGTTCCCTACCAGGCCTGCATCCTGTGCCAGTGACAATTGTAAGGCACACTGGAAAACCCTGAGGAACTATCTAGACCAACAGCGGAATTGAACTGTTATCAACCCCCAGAATTGAGAGAGAGATTGGTTTATTTTGGGACTAACATATGGTTCAATTTAATTTCAATAATTTACTGGCGTCGTAGGGGTCTTTACCAAAAGGACCCAAAGAAAATCCACACGCAAGTGAATTATTAAAATAAAATTGAACCATTTGTTAGTCCCAAAATGACCTAATTTGTGTTGAATGGAGGTTAAACTCTCTCTCTCTCTCTCTCTCTCTCTCTCTCTCTCTGTCTCTCTCATATTATAAACACTACTTATATATATGCTCTGTATATCACACATTGTGACACACAAATATAAATATAGCAATATGTAGATCGTGTGCATAGTGCATGATATTTTTTTTTTTTATAGAAAACTATAACATAGATCATTCAGCTTTTGAAAGATGCTGAAATGAATAGATATAGATATAATGATAGCTTGTATAGGAGCTACTATAACTGTTATTGTTTGTCCCTAGTTTTATGGCTAGAAGTTATTTTCACAAACAAACCCTAAAGAATCATACATTATACAAAAGATATAAACAATCCCTACCTTTCCTATTGTGTTGCCCTTGTTGACTGGGGTCTCTCTCCCTTAGCTTACTGGAACCTTGTATTAACAGCAGTGTGTATACAAGACAAGCTGTAGTGTTATTGGCTAACCGTAAAGGCTGATAGCGTATAGTAGTGAATACCAGAGTGTTAAAGGGGCTCCTCGTATCATTAGCTATTACTGAGATCAGCGGGACTATTGTAACTGGGTAGTTTTATTCATCATAGTGTAAATCCTCCTCTCACTCGACAGTCATAGTCAGATAAGAACCTCTTCAAACTTATACAACTTCTCTCATAGATGTATTTAACTCGGTAAACTTGAGTCGAGTTAATTTTTGTGTGTATCTTTTTGTGACCTTTGTGAAACTTGCAAGGATACATGTAAATTTGAGAGAGATTGTGAAATTGGAATAACACATTTTATTTTTACATTTATCTGTGCGTTAACGTTTGGGGAAAAAACTCATAAACAGTTTTTATCTACTTTTACTTACTCTGACTTTTGTGAAAAACAAGGTAAGAAATCACTCATAGCCTACTCTTTAATTTGAGAGATTAACAGTTATTGAAAAAATAATACATACATGTAAATACATACATGTATGTAATTAAGAAATGGCATGGATTAAAGTGTAATGGTCTTATAGTATATATATATATATATATATTTACTATGTATATATGTATTGTTGAATACTGGTAGATATCAATATACTATTCTTATTTACCTATGGTATATATATTTGGTAAGTAACGTTAGATAAATCATATATACATGTTTATATCTTTTAAATACCTCAAGTCATTGTAAGACATGAATATATGACCTATGCACTAAATACTTTCAATATATCACTATTATATACCTCTCCCACACCTTCAGTGTATGGAAATGTTTTCAAAAGTTTGAAAGTTAATTTATCTTAAACGGTTGTGTAATTATGGTTAGGTTACCCAGAAGTTATTTCTGTAATTGAGCATTGCTTACTGATAATGACAACTAATGTCGAGAATTTGAATACAAATGTCATAACTTTTTAAAGTTGAAATATTTTTCAACAAAGCTTTAAAGACGTGAAACAAATAACCATTGACTGGAAAATATATTCAAACTCCTGTGGATTGATATATTCATTACCAAAAATATGTTACCTTATGAAATATTTCAAGCAAAGTTCTGATTAATTAAATATACACGGTTGTTATTGCATAGTACACATGTTACGCAATGGATAGCATGAATATATATCAATGGCCCAAACAGCGGTTGACACTCCGCTTTAATTACTATGTATTTTATGTCTATAAAATGTTATTTTTTCCAGTTTGTTAAAAATACCATAATTTCAAATAAATATAGGTTTTGTGGATCAAAAAGATGGCCTAATTTCGTAGATGGAATGTATCTTTAAAAAATTTGCAAAAATGATCTTTTTGGTTAAAATTGTCAAATTAATACAAATTTGCTAGAGGAAAGATTGATTGACTGAAAATTCAGATTCCTCATTCCCTCTAATTCCACTCCCAGGCTGTGTTCATGGGGGCTGATTTTCCTTGAAGTACAATTTCATAGTTGCAATTTCATTCACATTAGTACTAAAATGTTTCCAGATGATTCCCTCCATTTTTAGTTCCAGACTATGTTCATGGACTATTTTCCATCAAATACAATTTCATAGTTGCAATTTCTTTCACATAGTACTAAAATGTTTCCAGCTGATGTTTAGAAATTCTAAAATATATTTTGTTCACGCATGAAATGTAATACTATATACTATAATAGTTATATTGTGTACATGTAGAATTTTATATAAATTTATTACATTGAAATCATTGACTGGCAGAAAAAAAACCAACAAATTTATCACAATTTTAACTGATAAACACCATTAGCATGTAAGTTATTCATACGTTATCCACGTTTCTCTCTGATATATAGAAGTTTAAGTATTTTCTATCAAACGGAAATAGGATGATGTCGTGATAAAGCTGATATGGTTTATAAATGAAATGAAGTGAGGTTTAACATCCTGGGTAATGAAAGCGGGCATGCAGTGTGTTATGAGGGAATTTTGCCTGGACAGTGGTGTTTCAGCCTACTTTTATATATCTCGAATTTCAAATAAGGGTTCTTTCATGTGCCAATGTCTACCTGAGACCACGTTTTTTTTGTCTCATCCGAAAGACTATACATTGTGCCTTCCTTGCCAGGCCCTCTGTCCTGCATCACTGACAAGGGAAAACCAGAAATACACTAAAAGCCACTGATCGACATTTTGTGGAAGTTGTATCTGTGAAAAGAAATTCAGCCCCAAAATAATTCAAATCCATTTGGTATTTACAAAGATATGGTGAATTGAAAATTTATCAATATGTAGCCTCCTATGTGAATGAGTAAACAAGCCAGTTTCACCTTTAATTAATGGGTAAATCTTTTAATAGGCCTTGAGGGGGGGGGGGAGAGAGAGAGATTGCCAAATGGTTAGCGCATGTGTGTTGTATCTGGGATTGGGGAACAGACTTAGCCTATGTAAAACCCTTCTCCCTGAATGTGTATTGTATCATAATGTCTGTCATTGAGTCAACTGACGTGGTTTCGATGCCCCAGTTGTACGTGAGAAGGAGTATGGGCGTCCGTCCAATCTCGTGGGTTTTCTCCGGGTACTCCGGTTTCCTACCACTGTTAAAGACCCCTACGCGCAAGCGAATTAGTGAAATAAAATTGAACCATAGGTTAGTCCCAAAATGACTAACTGTGATAAGTGGAGGTTAAACCCAATCTCGCTCTCTCTATCTCTCTCTTTCTCTCTCTCTCGCTCTCTGTTAATAGGCTTTATTTTAATCTGATTGAACTGACCGATTATCTACTGTTGGTATTTTGTTTATGTATTCTTAATTAAAGTAAATATTCATTTCGAGGACATTTTAGCGTGTAATGCTTCGAAAGATGCAAGGTCGTGATTGGTAACTTTACTTAAGCATGTCTACTTTACCAGAAATGTCATGTTGCTAAATTCCCCTTTTCAGTGGTGCAGGCCAGAGGGCCTGACAAGGACAGCTGTCTAGTCGTTCGGATGGGATGGAAAACAGAGGTCCCTTGTATACATTGGTATGCATGTAAAAGATCCCTTGGCAGTTGGAATTCGATATAAGAGTAGGCCATAGTGTAGCTGCCAGGGTGAAATTTCCCTCATAGCACACTGTATGGCGTATGCCCATCTTCATTAGCCCAGTTCGGAGCAGAGCAGTGGGACATTAAATCCCATTTCATTTCATTTCCTATCTTTGTAAATTCTGAAAGGAATTGAACCATTTAGAGATTCTACTTTCATATTATTGTAATTTGCTGCAGATTCAAAATCCCCTAAATGACGATTTTCATTTAAAAATTTTTGAAATAGAATCTCTTCAATTCTTGTAGTATTAAAAAAGGAGTTGTTTTTAGTTGTTGTGTATAATATGTGATCAGCCAACATTGTTTTTAAAAACAGGAATGTAAATAAATTCTCCCAAGATAGTAAGCATGACTGAATATAAGCAGCTGAAAGTGGCACGTTAAAGCTACATTGCCAATATTTTTATAAATCAGAAATGTTTGACTGGAAACAGGTTGGTATACATGTGTGTATTGTATTCATTTACAATTCTAAATTTTCAATGTCTGACGTTTTTATCCAGATCTACTGAACATGTATGTATAAATTAAATAAGTTTGAAAACCATTAAAAGAATAATAAAGCTGTCAAAATATTAGATAATATAAAAAGTAGATCTGTTGCAAAGAACACTAAACATAAAGCCTGGTTTGAACAATGAACAGCTGCCATCGGCATATTTCATCAATATGGCACTTTAAAAATGACATTACAGTATTTTTGTTGCAAGCTACATATTGTATTCAATTTTAAATAATATCCAACTTCATGATAAATCAACCGGATTATGTAATAGAGGCGTGTATGAATAGTGTTTGAAATGCAGTAAAGAGTAAAATGTTATTTCAAAATTTAAAAAAAATCAATTGAAAAAAAAAAGACTTTTCGAAATGTTTAATATAAAAGGCATTATGTTTATTTGAAAATTGTTTAATTGGTATTTAGAAACAGAACTGGAAATAAACATGAAACAATTCTATAGAAGATATTTACTGTTTATAATGGGAAATACACAAGACAGAATTGTATAAAAGATAATTAATTTATTTAACGGGAAATGCACAGGACATGGTCCTATAGAAGATAAAGAGAGAGGGAGATAAATGGGGTTTAACGTCCATTTGACACAAACTGGGTCATTTACGGACTAACATATGGTTTAATTTTATTTCAATAATTCGCTTGGGCATAGGGGTCTTTAGCAGTGGGAGGAAAGCGGAGGACCTGAAGAAAACCCATAAGGTTGGACAGGCGAACCTACTCCTTGTCACGTACAGCCGAGAAGATAATGAATGTTTATAACGGGATATACACAGGACATATGGAATACAATTACTGATTATTAAAATATTTCCAAAAATAATTAATGTATCAGCAGAATTAAAAATACATTATACAAGAACTAAATCTGCCTATTGTAGGTCTTTCTGTAGGCCTGAAATGTTATATAAACTATTAATTAGACATTAATTAACTTATCCAGACCATAATCAACTCACGATGTCATCGCTAGCCTGCGATCTTTAGTGGATTATGAGCCGATTTACTGCATAACTTTCCTTCTCGATTAAACGATTAAATGGATAATTGAGACTATGCTGTTTATCGTACTGACTTTAGTAATGATGACCAAGGCTTATGGGAATTTCAGTCGCTTAGTTCTCGGTTCATAGTGGATCAATTTGAATGAAATTTTCACCAAATTGCCTTTACATTATCTAGTTTTTAACTATTATAGTGAGAACTGCCAACTCGTTACCGAATCTCCCATAATGTATCTTTAATAATATAAAATATAATTTGTTGTAAACAAGCATTGCTTGATAAAGACTATACATGTAGAAGCCAAACCAAAACGAAACTTACTCAGAAATCATGAGCTTCTGGAAATAATTAGGAAAATTGTAATTTAAATTTGGATATTGCTTACAATCCCATCTCATGTTTTCATATCGTCATTTTGAATAATAAATGCTATTTCACACCAACACTTGTGTTATTTATTCATGAAGA